GAGCTATGTTGGCCATCTGCAGAGTTGTGTTGGCCATCTGCAGAGTTATGTTGGCCATCAGCAGAGTTATATTGGCCATCAGCAGAGTTATGTTTGCCATCAGCAGAGCTATGTTTGCTATCAGCAGAGTTATGTTGGCCATCAGCAGAGCTATGTTGGCCATCAGCAGAGTTATGTTGGCCATCAGCAAAGCTAGGTTGGCCATCAGCAGAGTTATGTTGGCCATCTGCAGAGTTATGTTGGCCATCAGCAGAGTTATATTGGCCATCAGCAGAGTTATGTTTGCCATCAGCAGAGCTAGGTTGGCCATCAGCAGAGTTATGTTTGCCATCAGCAGAGTTATGTTTGCCATCAGCAGAGTTATGTTGGCCATCAGCAAAGCTATGTTGGCCATCTGCAGAGTTATGTTGGCCATCAGCAAAGCTAGGTTGGCCATCAGCAGAGTTATGTTGGCCATCAGCAAAGCTAGGTTGGCCATCAGCAGAGTTATTTTGGCCATCTGCAGAGTTATGTTGGCCATCAGCAGAGCTATGTTGGCCATCTGCAGAGTTATGTTGGCCATCAGCAAAGCTAGGTTGGCCATCAGCAGAGTTATGTTGGCCATCTGCAGAGTTATGTTGGCCATCAGCAGAGTTATGTTGGCCATCAGCAGAGCTATGTTTGCCATCAGCAGAGTTATGTTGGCCATCAGCAAAGCTAGGTTGGCCATCAGCAGAGTTATGTTGGCCATCTGCAGAGTTATGTTGTCCATCAGCCGAGCTATGTTGGCCATCTGCAGAGTTATGTTGGCCATCAGCAGAGTTAAGTTGGCCATCAGCAGAGTTATGTTGGCCATCAGCAGAGCTGTGTTTGCCATCAGCAGAGTTATGTTGGCCATCAGCAGAGCTATGTTGGCCATCAGCAGAGCTATGTTTGCCATCAGCAGAGTTATGTTGGCCCATCAGCAGAGCTATGTTGGCCATCTGCAGAGTTATGTTGGCCATCTGCAGAGTTATGTTTGCCATCAGCAGAGTTATGTTGGCCATCAGCAGAGTTATGTTGGCCACCAGCAGAGTTATATTGGCCATCAGCAGAGTTATATTGGCCATCAGCAGAGTTATGTTTGCCATCAGCAGAGTTATGTTTGCCATCAGCAGAGTTATGTTTGCCATCAGCAGAGTTATGTTGGCCATCAGCAGAGCTATGTTGGCCATCAGCAGAGTTATGTTGGCCATCAGCAAAGCTAGGTTGGCCATCAGCAGAGTTATGTTGGCCATCTGCAGAGTTATGTTGGCCATCAGCAGAGTTATATTGGCCATCAGCAGAGTTATGTTGGCCATCAGCAGAGTTATGTTTGCCATCAGCAGAGCTAGGTTGGCCATCAGCAGAGTTATGTTTGCCATCAGCAGAGCTAGGTTGGCCATCAGCAGAGTTATGTTTGCCTTCAGCAGAGTTATGTTTGCCATCAGCAGAGTTATGTTGGCCATCAGCAAAGCTATGTTGGCCATCTGCAGAGTTATGTTGGCCATCAGCAAAGCTAGGTTGGCCATCAGCAGAGTTATGTTGGCCATCTGCAGAGTTATGTTGGCCATCAGCAGAGCTATGTTGGTCATCAGCTGAGTTATGTTGGCCATCAGCAGAGCTATGTTGGCCATCAGCAGAGTTATGTTTGCCATCAGCAAAGCTAGGTTGGCCATCAGCAGAGTTATGTTGGCCATCTGCAGAGTTATGTTGGCCATCAGCAGAGCTATGTTGGCCATCTGCAGAGTTATGTTGGCCATCAGCAAAGCTAGGTTGGCCATCAGCAGAGTTATGTTGGCCATCTGCAGAGTTATGTTGGCCATCAGCAGAGTTATGTTGGCCATCAGCAAAGCTAGGTTGGCCATCAGCAGAGTTATGTTGGCCATCTGCAGAGTTATGTTGGCCATCAGCAGAGCTATGTTGGCCATCTGCAGAGTTATGTTGGCCATCAGCAGAGTTAAGTTGGCCATCAGCAGAGTTATATTGGCCATCAGCAGTTATGTTTGCCATCAGCAGAGTATGTTTGCCATCAGCAGAGATATGTTTGCCATCAGCAGAGCTAT